CTTATTGCATAATTTTTGTTTCAGCCTCAAGAAGATAAATCTCCTAATACATGGAAACTTAGAAATTTTATTCCACAAAGGAAGCCCAGCTCTCCAATTTCCCATGGGGTAAGTAAAACAAAATTCCATATTTACCAGTAAGTTATCTTTTACATTTTATTTTTATTATCATGTTTTTACTGGTGTAAACGCAAAGAGTAAGTAAAGTTTCAGTTTCTTTCACTGATTATTTTGAGGAATTGTGTATCATAGAGACAGTAAATATTTAAGTCCTTCAGAAAGAATTGCCATTAACATTGATGTATTCTCTAAAGACTGCAGCACCTGGACCCATATCTGGCCAGCAGCCTGAGGATGTCCGTTCAATGCCTGTTCCACTTACTGCTCTTCCAACAAAAGGGAAACAACGCTATACTAATAAGGCTGCTGCTCCTTCAAGTTCCTCCCACCGTGAATCTCGCTCGGCCACAGAGCTGAGAGTGCAGTCTAAGCCTGAAAATAATGGCCACTACTCTGACAGCTCTGGTGAGGGTGAGAGTCACCATCGCCCCACTCCCCGTGCCACTGCATTATCGCAGATTTCAAAGTCCAAAGCTGGGTTATCTAGGATGAGGGTGTCAAATGGACCTCAACTCAGCTCAGATAGTGAAGATGAGCCGGAGTCTTTTTCTTCATGGAAAGTTGGATCAACTCAGTCCCTAAATGGTTCAAATATTTCTGGAAAGGGTGTGTCAAAAATTCCAGAAAAACCTGCCAAATCCATTGTTCCCCCCATATCTTGTGAGACAGGTAGAAGAAACTCAAAGAAGAATCCTGACTTAAAGAAAGATAATCAGGTTGGTGCCAAATCTGAAAGTGTAAAATCAAAACGTACCAGCAAATCACAAATACAAACTGACAGTGATGACAGCATTATAGATGTAGTGACTACTACCCCTGAAAAGGTGCAGTCTAGAGGTACTCCAACTTCACAACGTACTCCATCAAGAACACCCAAAGATTTCCCAAAGGTTATTCCCAGTCCTGTGAAGTCAGTCCAGGCCAGCCCTCATGCATCTCCCAGGACTTCAGTCTGTGTATCTAGTAAAAATAGTGCAAAGAGATCCAGTAGTGCAAGACTCAGTGAATCCCAGAGCTCTGAATCCTTAGTGAGTAAAAGTGACGATGAAATTCAGCCTCACACTGGCCATAGTCAGAGTAGTTCTCAGAAGCTTGACCAGGCCAGGGACAAAGGGGGAAAGGTGAATCGAACATTTAACACTTTATCCAAAAAAGATAAGATGGGAAGGGACAAAGACCCTTCAGATAGTAGAAAAACAAAAAATTGTGATACAAGGAAAGGTAGTGGTGGTAATAAAGACAGCATTGAAAGGAGTAAAACCGATAGAAGCAGAACAGTGAGTGAGCCCAGCCCAGCAGATAGCAGAAATGAGGGAAGGCCAGGTGCCTCTCCTATAGTTAGTAATAAGCTTTGTGAGTCTCCTATAGTTAGTGCAGAACCAAAAGTGCCCATACCCCAAATACAGTATGAAAATGGTGTAGCAAGACTTACTTGTACAATTCCCCTTAGCTTTATTGATAAAGTGCCCAAACACAGTGAAAACAGTGCATCAAGTATATCCAAAACTGATATTAAACAAGAAGTAGACACAAAAGATATACTTGATAATAGAACTAGAGAAGGAAAAGGTAAAAGAAAAACATGTGATCCTAATACTAAAGCATCATGTAATGAAGATAAGTCAAAGTCTATAATTTTAACGTCCATATTTAAATACAAAACTGAACAAGAGAAAGTTAAAAAGGAAACAAAAACTGAACCAGTCAATAGTGATGAAGAAGATTCAGAAAAAGTTGACATCAAGCTTTCTCACAAAATTAAAGAGTGAGTAATTGTTCTTTTTTATCAAAATTATAAAGTAATATTACCATCACAATCATTTTCATATTCATAGTGGTATCATTATCAGTGTCATCTATGGCATGTGCTACCTTCATTATTTTTAAATATGACTATTGTGAAATGTGGTACTTCTTCCCCCCCTTCCCCCTAATACGTGTATTCATTTTGTTTGTTGTTTATTTGTTTATTCAATTTTGAAACAGTCTCATGAGTTTATTGATTTTTGTCCTTCCTGTACATTAACCCAGCGACTACAGATTTAAGTACTGTCCCCTATAGTTTTTTGTGAATTTTGTTATGTATAGATGGTTCACATGCATGTTCAACAGTAGGCCCTAGTTACCGCACCTGATTTCACCATTCCTTAAATTTACAGGATTTCTTCTTATTATTCTTTTATTTTCTCTTCCTTCCCTTCCTTTATTTTGGTTTATTTTATTTTATTTTCACTTCCTTCCTTTTCTTTTCCCTTCCCTTCCCTTTCTTTATTTTGTTTTATTTTATTTTATTTTCACTTCCTTTCTTTTCTTTTCCCTTCCTTTCTTTTATTTTATTTTATTTTATTTTCCTAACCTTTCTTTTATTTTATTTTATTTT